GTTGCCACGATAGAGGTATCGCTCTCACACAGAGGGGAGAGTCCGACGGACTTTGTGGTCATTCCCGCAGTACGCGAGGGGGAGAAGAAGGTCGGTATAGCAGCTCCCATTTTGTCTCACTAGCGTGGTTCTAATCAGAATGCCTCCTCCCTCCCTCCTCCTCCCTCCCTACCCGCCGCCCCCCCCCCCCCCCCCTTCCTCCTGCCTGCTGGCATGCTGGGTGAGAGTCAACATGACACATTTGTAGGTTCCGCCGAGAGTTTATGACTCGCTCGACAAGATTCCTGATGACCCGACGGATCTTGACCCTTCCATGCTCCTCAAAGTTGTTGGGCCTGCGGTACTCCTCCTCCTCCCTTCTCCTCCTCTTCTTCCTCCCTTCTCCTCCTCTTCTTCGAAAGAACAAGTCCTCTTCCTCCTCCTCTTCCCTTGTCCTGCTGCTCCTCCTCATCATCCTACTGCTCCCGCTAGGCTCCTTTTTGCGGTTTCTCCTTCTCTTCCCTTCCAGCCTCTGCACCCATTCATTTTTCCTCGTCCTCGCGCTTTGATCCTATCCTATCTGCTTCCCTCCTCTGACTTGTTCGCCCTCAGCACGAGCCTCCTGCTATCCCCTGGCAGCAGTTTCTTCTTCCTGAGCCCGAAGCTCCTCCTGCTCCATCCGATCCTGTAGCTCACAATGGAGGAGGGATGCTTTCAGCGATGCCTCCAGCCCAGGTGAGAGGAGGGAGGAGGAGGGGAGGGGAGGGGAGGGAGGGGAGGGAAACAATTACAGGCCATGGAGAAAAGAAGGAGGGAGGGGCAGGAGGAGGAGGAGGAGGAGGGCAGGGCAGGGCTGGAAGTTGGGGGCGGAGGGTTGGGCAAGAGAAAGCAAGAGATGATTTGGAGATGATTTTTCTGTGTGACGAGTTCTTTCAGGGATACCAGAGCAACCATGACAGTATCTCTTCCTCGCTCCCTCTCCCTCTCTCTGCTGACTCTCCCTCAGTATTCCACGAAGTCAACGCCCTCCTCCACCAAGTTGAGGGCCCGTCGGGCACCTGGTCGGAGACGAACCGAATGCCTGCCCAACCCATGGTAAAGACATAATGTGGCGATGGTGATGGTGATGGTGATGGTGATGGTGATGGTGATGGTGGGAGGAGGAGGAGAGGTGAACATGATAAAGGTTAGAGATGTTGATGGAAATGATGTTCATGATGATTATTATGGGAAAGATGATGCCGGTGCTGGCGCTGGTACTGATACTGATGATACTGGCAGGCCTACCCGCCCATGGGACAGGAGCAAATGTACAACATGCACGGGGGTCAGATGGGATGGAGGGGGTCAGGAGACCCGCATGGACCCCACTCGTATCCTCATGACAGGATGACCCAAGGACAGTGGAATTCCAACGGGTGGAGAGACTGGAGAGGAGGAGGACGGGGAGGGCGAGGGGGAGGAGGACGGGAAGGGGGACATTGGCAGCCCAGATATTAGTGGATGGGGAAGGAGTGACTGAGGAGATGAACGGCGTCTGCTAGGAAAAGGAAGGGAAAGGGAAAAGAGGTGGAGAATGAGGAGAGGAGGAGGAAGAAGATTGGGGGATAGAGAAGCGGTGGCGATGGCAAAGCAGCAGCATTGCAATTGTACAGATTGTATTTAATGTTTGGTTGGGATGGTATTGAAGTATTCTTTCAGCAAGTGCTGAGATCAAAACTTTACCATCAAGCAGGAGATTTTAGCCACAGTCATCCAGTGACTATGAGATGAAACGGGGAGTGACAAAGGAAGTCATGTAGAGGTGTGCTATGTCAGATCACATCGCAACCCAAACACAATCTGCATGTGTCTCGAGCTCAAGTTTGATCATCATCTCCAAAACTTCCCGACACTTCAATACAGGCTGCCGCGCGGCATGTAAACACCTGCGCTGTCCGTGTTCACGTCGTAGATGGAGATGTACCCCGTCGAATCGCAAGTTGCAAATAAACCGTTCTGCCTGCCTCCCGTTAACATGAAAGATCCTGCAAGTACTATCAGAAGCTATCCTTTCCTTCCCCTCCTTCCCCTCCCTCCCTCACCTCCCTTCATTCCCCTCCCTGCATCCCCTTGCTCCTGCCCCTTCCTCTCGTCTCCTTCTCCTTCTCTTTCTTCCTTCCCGTTCCCTTTTCTCTGCCCTTCTCCCTCCCCCTACTCTTCCTCTTCCTCTTCCTCTTCCTCTTCCTCTTCCTCTTCCTCTTCCTCCTTCACCGTCGATCCTGTACTCTTCCGATGGCCTCCTGCTCGACCTACAATGAGGGTCGTTCTGCCAGAGCCTACGGACATGTTCAGCTCCTCCTCCTCCTCGATCTTGACCGTCACATGATAGACGAGTACATGCCCGAGGTGCGGTTGTCCAGTTTCCACACGGAGAACTGAGGAGATCCGAAGTTGACGAAGAAGCGCCGCTGAGGATCCAGAGCGATCTGAATGACGACGGTCAGGAGGAGGGAGGAGGGAGGAGGGAGGAGGGAGGAGGGAGGAGGGAGGGAGGGAGGAGGGAGGAGGGAGGAGGGAGGCGAGGAGGAGGGGGTGGGAGAGAGGGGAGAGGGAAGGAAGGAAGGAAGAACGTGGGAGGAGGAGGGAGGAGGTCAGGAAGGAGGCAAGCGCAAATGGAAGGAACGAAGGAGGCAGGAGGAAGGAGAGAAACGGATGGAAAGGGAGGAGGGAAGAAGAAAAGAGGAAGGCGGGGAGGGAGGGGAGCGCAAATGGAAGGAAGCACCAACATGGTCGATATTCGACATCAGATTGTCTTGGAATTGAATCACACACATCTCCGGACGACGAATGTCGAACATCCTCATCATGCCATCTCCATATCCTGTTGGATCCTTCACACCCTCCTCGTCCTGCTCCTGCTCCTGCTCCTGCTCCTGCTCCTGCTCCTGCTCCTGCTGCTCCTCCTGCTGCTCCTCCTCCTTTTCTACCTCCTCCTCGTCCTCCTCCTCCTCCTCCTCCTCCTCCAACGCCTCATCACAGGCTTCCTGTCACCCTCTCTTTCCAATCCTCTCCTCAATTTCTTCTTTCTTAGCCTGCTGCCCACTATGTGCCTCCTCCACCTCCCCCTCCCCCGCCTTCTCGCCTCCTCTCGCCCTTCTCGCCTCTCCTCTCTCCTTCCTCGGCTCTCCCTTACCCAGCAAGCATGTGTATGTGTCGACCCACGTGTGAGATTGGAGGTTTTGATGCTTTGTCTGTTTGAGCGATCAGTAGGGTCGATGTAACCTCGGAAGATGTACAAGATGACAAGAAAGCAACAAGTCAAACGAATGACTTGAACAAGACACTCACTTCAGCACTGAAACACAATAATAACAACAACAACAGAAACAAGAACAACAAGATCAACAACAAGATCAACAACAACAAGATCAACCACAACAACAACAACAACAGCAACAACAACAGCAACAACAACACAGTAGTCACAAGTACGCAAAAAAGAAAATCCTTGTGACCTCACCTGCACCACGACGTTCCTCTCATACTTTCCGGCTCTGATGTCAAATACATGGAACACACCGCAGTCTGTCACTGCCGACGCCATCTTCGCCAAACTTGGATTCCAATGGCATGACGGCAACTTGCCCTTGGCTCTGTAGACAGAGTTCTCCGAGAGTCGACGAGAGCTGAGTTGGTCCGAGACAACTTTCTCTATGTCTGTGATGCAAACCTGCACTCTTTGATCACTCCTCCGCAAGCTTTTTCCTCCTCCTCGACCACCACCACCACCACCACCACCTCCTCCTCCTCCTCCTCTTTTCTTCTCCTCCTCCTCTCACTCTTCCTTCCTCTCTCTCCCTCCCCCCTCCCCCCCCTCCTTCTCTTCATCTCCTTCTCCTGCTTCGCGTCATCCTCCACGTCCTCGTCCTCGTCCTCTTCCATCTCCTTGACGCCTACTCCTCCCCACCTTTCCATCGAGGCTGCAAGACAGGCAGAGGCTCCGTTGGAAGTTGTTGAGCTGCAAGGTGTTCACCATAGTGGCGAGCAAGCACAAGACATGTTACCTTGACATCTGTGATCTCATCGTCGTGTATCTTAGCGAGGTTGTACCTGGTCTTCATCGTCCCTTCCCCGTACTTCATCACCACCATCCTGGAGCCAACGGCAGCGAGCAGCTCCTGCGCGCTGATCCACCCCAGGCTCACGTAGCGGCAAGGGGGCAACTCTGAGGAGGCAGCGCAGGAGATCTTGGCCAACGGCGACCTCGCCACGTTGAGGACGCAGACTCGATCTGTCTGCTCTGAGCTGCTTGACGCTGCTGCTCTACAACAAGTTGCAACCGCCATCAACCCGGGCTCGAAGGGGCTGAAGCAGGGGCGAGCAAGGGAAACATCCTCCTCTTCCACCACCTTGGGCGCCAGCTCGTTCAAGTGCACGCGAACCAGAGGCCTGCTGCTCGGCAGCCTGCTGGGGTCCGGAGCCATGGCAAACACTCTCCTCAACACTTGATGGTGCTCCCCAAGGATCACACCCGCTGCCCTCATCTCCCCTCCCCTCCCTCCTCCTCCCGTGCCCGCTGAGCGCAGCACCTCCAGCCATTGCCGCCTGGAGCTGGCCATGGCGATGGAGTCTCTCGACATGCAGCAGGGCGGCTGCACCTTGAGAGAGTCTGTGGACATGTACTTCGCCTCCACCACCATAACTTTGGGGTGCTGCTGACTGGCCCCTGACTCTGTGGCCGGGCCCTTGACCTTGACGGGGGTGGAGAGGGGGAAGGAGGGGCTGCTGTCCGAGTCAGAGCTCTCATCAATCATGAACTTCTTCCACGACTCGTCCTCGTACTCCCTCCGCACCCGCTCGCATGGGTTTGCGCTCTCCTCCCCAGCCTCCTCGCCAAAGAAGGATATTGCTTCCCGCTCATCCTCCAGGTACTTGAGCATCAGCTCCTGGCTCTGCTGTCCTCCATCGCACATGCTCACCGGCGGCTCTCCTGACAGGTGCCAGTCGTTGTGCAGCAGGTGCTCCAGACCTGAGAACGACCGGCCGAGACAGTCGACAGACTTGGCTGTTCTGCTCATGCTCATGTCCTCAGACGTCTTGCCAAGTTCCATCAGCTCCTTGCCCGGCAAACTTGCGTCATGCGTCAAGTCCAGCTCATCGAGAGGAGGGTTCCCAGAGCATGTCAGGCCAGAGAGCCGCGACATGGTGGATCGGTTGAGCAGCGGGAGCTCTTGGCTGTCCACGGGCAAGATGGGGAATTCATCATCCAGAGAGTGAAGGGAGAAATCTATCAGTCTCTTGAACGAGTTGCTTCGCTCCATCTCGAGATGCGCGACGTCTTCGATGATTTCATCCATGATGGACGTGCAGCAGCAAAGTCACCCCGGAGCTCCTGAATCCTTGTGACTGCGGTCAACCTGAGCGATCCAGCCCCTTCATCTATCCCACGGGTTTGTCCCGACGGTGCATTACCATCCTTGCTCCTACAGGGACTATATCTCTCCTTCCTCTTCCTCTTCCTCTTCCTCTTCCTCTTCCTCTTCCTCTTCCTCTTCCTCTCTATCACCTGCTCCCCCTCCTTACCCCCTCCTTCATTCGCCTGAGCGATGGTCAGACGAGACCTCCGATGGTCAAACTGGTCAACCGTGACTCGCCAAACAACTTGGAGGCCCTCGTCCCCGCCCTGACACCGCCCCTGTTTCACTCCGAGGCTCTGACTGGCTCGGGCTGCCGGCCCGGGCAGTCTGGCCCAGTCACTAGTCCGGGTGGCAGTCAAGTTCAGTGATGGTGTGGGCACTCGGAATCGACTGACCCTACGGGCCTCAAGGCGAAGTTGGCAAATCACTCAAGTTTGCACAACGCATTCAAGCCGCAGTGTTGTTAAGTGTACATGTGTACTTGAAACATTCAGATGGTCTGATCCATCATGAAATAACATAGTGAAATTAGATCGGGTCGATGCAGAGCAATCTCAGACCTTCATCTAAAAAGCTGCAGAGATTTGCAGGCCAGTTTGTCAGGATCCACCGCGAGCGCCCCGAAGGTATTCGTACACACGACGCATCGTTTCAGTGTAGACAGGAGAGATGTCCTCTCTCAGCGCAGCGCGTCTCTCTTCATCAGTTTCCATTGTCATATCCCTCTTGAAGCGAGTGAAGCCGATGCTGTTTTCGATCTTGGTGACTATCTGATGACAGGAGATACATAGGAGTTGGCACTTGTCAATCTCTGTGAACGCCTCCGTCAACGGTTTTCCATTCTCGACGATGTTGCACACAGAATCTCCCTTGTCAAACATGTTCTCGTGGTCGAAGTGGAAATATGTCATCTTGTCCTCGCCCTGTATCTCGAACCCTGCTCCCTTGTGACAGAACGCACAACTCACCTTTCCATTGTCAACACAGTATTGCTGAATTTCTCTCCAACGCTCAGACATTTCTCCACGAAATAGATTGTCGTGACACTCCCGGCAATACATGTCTGAACCCCAAACCCTGGGAGCTGAAAAATGATACTGTTCGCAATGTGTACAAACAAATTTCAGGCCGTCCATGACTGCTTCAATCTTGGAATCATCCAATGACTGAACGACATGTTCAATATGCTGCCTCGCAGATATTTTCTCGAAATACTTCCGTTTCACGCTGTTTCCCGACCGGTTCAAGTCTCGTCCGATCTCATCCCAAGGAATATCTAGCTTTTGGCATCGCTGCACCAGCTGAACAAGCCTATCCTCCTGCTGGGGGGTCCACAACTGCCATGATCTCTTTGACTTGAACTTGATATTTATCGACTTTGCTGTCTCTTTCACTTTCGTTGTAAATGCAGTCAGCGACCGGGCGATTCCAAACTCAGCGATGTATTCCTCCAACCATTGGCTGTAGTTGGGTTCCTCCCGCTCTTCACCTGTCTGATCAGCCGGATCGCCTCCGGCTGCTCCTTCTTGCTCAGCTGTCCCCTCTGGGCTGCATGGTCTCAGCGCTCGGATCTTGTTCGTGATACTATCGATCTCTTGTTGCCCCCATCGTGGCGGCATGTGTACACCCTGTCCACCTGCTCTATCCTAAATAGGAACACTCCTGAAGCTGGGGACGTCAGCTTGACTACCGGTGCATTGTAGCACAAACAAGGGGGTATAAAGGGGGTGATCCATGCAAAGTTTCACTAGTAGGTTTCTGTGGGGCAGTAATCTTCTATTATTAATTCATTATCGCTGTCCCTTGCACGGAACTTGTCCGCGGCCTCCACCCCTTGGTGGGGTGGCAGCCAAGGGTAAGAGAAGTTCCGAATGGAGTACTAAGTGAATAGGGGGTAGTATGAGGCATGCTGAAAAGCGGGTAGGCGTGCATGTGCCACAATGTGCAGGGAAGGGGAATAATCTTAGGCAGGAGAGAGGAGAGGAGAGGAGAGGAGAGGAGAGGAGAGGAGAGGAGAGGAGAGGATGGAAGGGGGGATGGGGAAGGGAAGTGGGAAGAAGGGAAATGATACCGAGGGGCAACAGGATTGTTTATGAGGTGGTGGTTCTATTGCTAAAAGACCATATATCCCTTCTCCTAGCGCCGAATCTTGACCTCCCCGCACTTGGACTTGAGGGATCAATCTTACTTTCCCTTCTTCCTCGCAGTACCTATCGGCTGCAAGATCGTTCGCCATGGCTCCTGTGAACCCTGTAAGATTTCCTACCCCTCGCGTGCATAGTGACAGGACTTGCAGGAAGCCAAACCTGTCTACAACAATGACGTGGCTGTTGCTACCGCCATCGTGTCGTACTACCCATGTCCCAACGATCCGCACCGGCCCACCTCCATGCCAATCTACCAATCCTCCACCTTCGTGCAGCCGAGGTCAGTTGCGGTCGTCCATGGCCGACGCTGCTCCTGACCGCCCTGCTTCCAGTGCAACAGAGTTCCAGGAGTATGACTACACTCGCTCGGGGAACCCCACGAGAAGTGCGTTGGAGAAGCTGGTAGGATGCGATTGTGATGAATATGATGATGATGATGAGGAGGAGGAGGAGGAGGAGGAGGAGGAGGATGGGAAGGTGGTGGTGGTGGTAGAGGAGGAGGAGGACGAGGACGAGGAGGTCGAGGAGGAGGAGGAGGAGAAAGGGGAGGAGGATGGAGATGACGGAGATGACGAAAGACGTTGACACTGTTCATGCTGATGATAATTTTCATGATCTTGATAATGCTGTGTCGCATCCATGTGTTGTTGATAGTTGAAGGAGAAGTTGAGGAGACGACAGGTCGCCGGCATGGAGGGCGCGCATGCAGCTTTCGCTTTTACGTCCGGGATGGCAGCCTTGTCCTGCATGACTCGGTTGGTGAAGGCTGGAGATGAAATCATTTGCAATGCCGACATCTATGGCGGGATGTACCGCCTCCTGACAAAAGTTGCTACAAGACAAGGTCCCAAGAGACGAGATCAAGTTCGAGATGTTTCGATCTGAAGTCTTGCTGCTCGAAACAGGCATCACTGTCAAGTTTGTCCAGATCTGGAACCTTGAGGAGGTGCCTCACTGACTTACAGCAACTTCCTTGCTCATTCTTGAGGCAGGTGAAAAAAGCCATGACGAGCAAGACCAAGATAGTTCACATCGAGTCTCCTTCCAACCCCCTGATGATGGTGATTGCGGACTACTCAGATCAGCTTCCTCTCGCACCGGGGATGACAAGGGATTGACAGGTCACGGACATTCGCGCGCTCTCCAAAATTGTGCATGAACGTGGCGCGCTGCTCACGGTGGACAACACGATCCTCACACCTCTCCTGATGAAGCCGCTCGAGCTCGGTCAGGAGGAGAGGAGGAGAGGAGGAGAGGACAGGAGATGACGAGGAGAGGAGGGGAGAGGAGGAGGAGGAGGAGGAGGAGGAGGAGGGTAGGGTAGGGGACGAGGGGACGAGTGGAGAATGAAGGGAGGGAAAGGATAGGATAGCGGAGGGTTGATTCAGTGATTGCTTCGCTGACCGCTTCTTGTACTCAGGGGCGGATGTTGTTGTCCACTCAGCGACTAAGGTGATGTGTGGAGAGATTGATGTATCCTCTTGCTCATGCGGTTGCTGCAGTTCTTTGGAGGACATGCAGACGTGATGTCAGGGTTCGTTTGCTGCAAGACGGAGGAGCTGAGCAAGCAGATCTACTTCCATCAGGCATGGAGGAGAAAAAGAGCGGAGGAGAAGAAGAGCGGAGGAGAAGAAGAGCGGAGGAGGAGGAGGAGGAGGAGGAGGAGGAGGAGGCGGAGGAGGAGGAGGACTGGAGGATTGGAGGAGGAGAAAACCGGAGGAGGTGAAACCAGGAGGAGGATGAAAGGGGAGCTGGTGGTGTTTGGTCAGCAGCAACTTACATTTCATTCAGAACGCTGAAGGGACAGGACTTGCACCGTTCGACTGCTGGCTGGTACTGAGGTGAGGGAGGAAGCGGGTGTGGTGGTGCAGCTGAAGTTCGGGCAGGGGGATCAAGACCATGGCCGTGAGGATTGAGAGGGGGATGAGCAACACTGTGGAGGTGAACCATGAGGGGGAGGAGGGGTGGGCTGGGGAAGAGGAGGGGGAGGGGGAGGGGGAGGGGTCGTGGGTTCATGTTGCTGTCAGGTGGCAAAGTTCCTTGCTGCACAACCCATTGTGAAGAAGGTAAGTCTCCTCGTCCGACCCTGCGCTCCTCCTCCTCTTCCTCTCCTCCTCCTTCCCGTCTCCTCCTTGAATCGTCCCTCATCTCTTTATCAGGTTCACTACGCGGGAGTTCGCAACCTGGGCAAGGCCCAGAACTCAGCGGAGCAAGTGAGATGAGAAGCAAACGAGGAGAGGAAGTAGAGTTGGGAAGGAGTCAGGGATGCAGTTGTAGATGGGAGGGGAGGGAAGGGGAGGGAAAGGAGGGGTTGTGGAGGAAAGGAGGGAGGGAGGGAGGGAGAGGGAAGCGAAAAGGAGGAGTGATGTTGCGGAGGTTTACCTTGGCGTCTAGGCTGTTCGCTACGACCTTCAGATGAGTCAATCGAAAGGAGCAGGGGTTCTTCTCTCCTTCGAAACAGGTAATGGAGCATACAGAGAAAGCTGGAGAATGGGAGGAAGGCAGAGCAAGGCAGGGGAAGCCGAGCATGGGAGGATGGAGCAAAGGGGGAGAGAGTTGGTGGGGAGGGAGGAAGGGCGTGTGGGGCTCAGAGGTTGGAGGTGCTGGGGATGAAAAGGAGGTTGAAGAGATGACTTTGGAATTTTCAGGCAACGTCGAACTGTCACAAAGGATTGTATCAGCTCTCAAGGTTTTCTCTCCTCCTCAACTCTCCGCCTTCATTCCCTCCCCCATCTCGACCTCTCCACAGCACTTGTCTGTCCCTCCCGCTCCCCCTCATCCTCCTCCATTCTTCTCTCCCGCTGCCCCACCACTCCCCGCCCCGTTCTAACCGTCCTCCTTGCCCTCCTTCTCCTTGCCCCCGCGTCCTCCCTCCCACCCCGTCCTCCCCGTCTTCCCTCACCTGGCCTCCAGATCTTCAAGATCACCGTCTCTTTTGGAGGATGCTCCTCCGTCGTCGAGATGCCCTCAGTCCTCTCGCACGCCTCCATCCCTAAGGATGAGCAGGCAGGCATCCCTTGCAAGCCTCCGAGTCGCTCACGTTGAACTCGCAGCATATCCCTGCCGACCTGATCAGAATGTCGATCGGCATCGAAGACATCAAAGACATCATCGCTGTAAGCCCTTGCCTCGCCTTCGTCCTTTTCGTCCTCGTCCTCGTCCTCTGCTCTCCCCTCCCCCGTTGAGTTGGTTTTCGCAGGACATTCAACAAGCTCTCATCGCCGCGGGAGGACCTTCTGCTGTAGCTGCTCAGAGTCGCTTGTAATGAAGACAGTGACGATCGAACGGACCGGCGGTCACTTCGGTGTGTCAGCCGAGGCTCCGGCCAGTGGGCCAGCCTGCCGCAGTGCGTCCCACCCCGGCGTCGCCGGGCCCCGACCGACCGGTTGAGCCCGTGCCACTGCCGTGACTCGGTGAGGCTCGGTGCCGGCGTCCGACTCGGTGCCGGCGTACCGGGCGGCAACTTGCGGCAACCGGTATGGTACGGTACTAGTGACCCGGTACCGACCGTCAGAGCTCGGCGGCGGCTCCGGGCCTCCGGGCCCTGGCCGCCGATTTCAGTATTCCTGTCGCCGCACTAGCGTTTTGTCGGCTACCCTTTCAAGTTGAGTAAAACATAGTACTCCGACCCGATGAAGTCAGCACGGCATGACTGTGGGCATGACAAGTCAGCATATTTCCAGAGGCAGGCTTGTTATCTTGACGGGCCCCGTGCTCTTTACTACACTGTTACTTCCACAAGAGGTTAGTCACAAGATACTCTGATGTCCTCGTGACTTCAACTCTAAACGTTTCGTTTACCTACCCCACAGCCCCCAGTTATGTGTGTTCCCACCCCCTCCTTTTAAAACTGATCTGACCGTAGTCCCATGTGACAAGATGCGAAGGGCTACAGAGTCGCTGACCTGGGGGTAGTAGTTTGCCTGTCTTTTGTACGGCCACTGTTATAATATGTTGGCAAGGGAGTTACTTATAGTGAATTACCTAAGGCTTTAATTGAAAAAATCTTTATCTTTGGGGCCACAGACGAGCGGTGAGAATACAGTTTGATTGAACTAGGTAGGGGTGGGTATATGGGGGCGACTATATGACTGCTGCGTGACCGACTCCTTCTCTCGGATTTGAAAGTTTAGTACACTCCATCAGTGGTGGGGTCATAGAAAATGGCAATACGGGTGATATATTTGTCTTACGGGTGATATTTACCTATCAAAAGGGGGTAAAATTCAATTTCGAGAATCATGGAGGTGGGGTACTCTTTGGAATTCTTACAGGGTAGGGTAGTTTGCGAGAACGTCATCAAGCAAATTTGATTGTACAAGTGTAGGGGTGGGCACTGAGATATCGGGATAACACCCACATATACCCCCAAATATACCCTCTTTAGAATATGAAATAGGAGGGTGGGGTGTTGCAAAGAGAGGTCCAAGTGGGGTAGAGTATCAAGTGAAAGGTTGAGGTATTTCGGGTGTGCGCGTGACTGTGCAGCATAAAAACCTTTTGCAACCGATAGGGGGTAGGGTGGTCGAAGATAGATAAAACCTCAGGTAGGGTAGTATGATGTCCTGCCCTGGTTCTGAATCTCCCCATGGGTAGTGGGTCTTGTGATCAAAGAACGGGGGTGGGAGTACTTTGACTTCCTTGGAGGCAAAGAAAGAGGGGGTAGGGGTACAAACGAGGGTGTGGGGTAGTCCTGGGGGCGGATGTAATAACCAGGTGAAAGCAAATGCGGTGGGTCAGTGTTTCCCCAAGTATATCAGAGGAGGTAGGGGTGGTGATATCAAGTGAATTACACGCTTCAAAATGGAATTACTGGGGGTAGGGGTGGCAAGCAAATGCCGCCTAATAGGGTAGGGTACACCGGGACAGAAACTTGTGGCGATGCTGAGAGGAGTTAGGAGAGGAGATAAGAGTCGAATAGTAGAGGAATGAGGAGAAGGTAAATGGAACCAGGAAGATGAATGGGAAGAAGGTTTGAAAGGAAGTCAACATTCACAGTCATAGCATCTCTAGCTCATGATCGGAGATGGATTTCAGGTTGATCCGAATGGATGACAACTTTTGCGATATCTGGCATTTTTGGTTTCGATGCGTGTATGTTTTTGTGAGGACGGAAACTTTTGTTGCAGTGTTGTTCTTTGCATGCCCTGCGATCAAGGAATCACTCAGCACGGTCTATGTCTAGAGTTCGAACGACTATATCGCATCATGAACTGTTCGATGGTCTCCTGACAAGGTGATGCAGGCGAAGGGGATGACAAGTGTGCTGGGCATTTCCAAGCAAACGGACGAGAGTTGCTGCGACAACAAGAGCAACACGCCGGAACCCTCTGATCTAGCAACCGTGCACTCCAACTCCGCGTACATGACTGACAGCGACACGGAGCGGGACATGCTGAATTTCGAAGTCAACCGCCCTGACGACATCAACGACGCGAGCATGATAAAGGAAATCTCCGAGCACCTCGACCTTTCCATAGAGGAGAAAATGGACGCGCTCATGACGTCGACAGCAGTGACGGCTCGGCATGTTGATGTATCTTGCGTTCGGTTGATAGCCAAGAAGATGAAAACCAGAGTGGTGGAGAAGGATGCGCTGGTAATGAAGAGAGGGTGCACTGGGAGGTGCATGTACTGGGTGGTACGCGGATCTTGTGTAGCCTTCTTTAACGGGCAGTGCTTCGAGCCAAGAGGGAGGGGACAGTGCTTTGGGGAGGTGGCAGTGGTGAATGTTTGCAATAAGATGAGGGAGGGTGTGACGCTGGAGGAGGCGATCAAGACGAGTAGGAGGATGACGGACGTGGTGGCGCTGGAGCAGACAGTGCTCATTGAGCTGGATGCCGTGGATGCTCTGCCGCTAGTGAGGACAGCACCCAACCTGTGGCGTACACTGGAGGATCTAGCCAAGTTTCGAGTGAATCGAGTCAAAGTGGCGAGCGAGGAATGCTCGCAAGAGAAGGCATGACGTGTAACTCATCATGTGGTAACTTTGTATGAGAGGGGTAGAGATAGACTTTAACTGAGATATCATGTTGTATTTTGTTGTGAAGTAAATCGTTTGCACTGCAACTTTCTACACGACTGTTTGACAACCACAGCACTCTAGGAGGCAACGTCCGTTAGCAGAGGAACACATATCTCATCCTCCCCGTGCCGCTCCCCCCTCCTCGCCCTCGTGCTGGCGACGGCATCGGATCGCTGCTTCAGCAGATCAGCGTCCAGTTGATCTTCAGCCTGACAGCGCGTCATTTCATTTCACGTCCCCACCCTAGCTCAGTAGACCTGCATCCTGAGGTACTCGCCCTTGAAACTCCAGGAGACGCAGCAAGAGGCGATCAGCACTCCAACCTGATGGATCGCCCGTCATGTATCCCATCCTCCGGCTCCTGCTGCTCCTGCCCCTGCCCCTGCCCCTGCCCCTGCCCCTGCCCCTGCCCCTGCCCCTTCGAGACAACGTTCTGCTCCTCCTTCTCTTGCACTTCCTCCTCCTCTTACCATGAGAGCAAGAGAATAGCTGGCATCCCGTGTAGGCTCAAGGACAGTCCCGTAGATCCAAGTCGAGTTCACGCATTGGAGGCAGGAGGGAAAGTGGCAAGGGATTGTGGGGTCGGGTAGGAGGGAGTACCCCTCCCTACAAGCATAGTTGCCAGCGAGGTACTCCATCCCTGCAATGAGGAGCACGCCGCAAACCTACAGAGGGCATGAGGAATAGACGGGAGGGGAGGGAAGCGTTCCTGTCCGCCCAAGACAAGGAGCGAGCTTGAGAGGGCCTCTGACGTCGGGAAAGAACACTCGGCTCCGAGCTCGAGACCAATCTGACAAGAGAGTGATCGGAGGGGAGGAGAAGGGAGGGGGAGGGAGGGGGAGGGGAGGAGGTTCACCGGTAAGAGAGGAACAAGAAAGAAACCTGAAGTTGAAGGGGAGGTGAGGGAGGAACAGAAGAAGCACATGCAATGCTTACCCGCCATGAAACCAACGGCGGATAGGAAGATATCACCATGAGATGGAGACAGGAAGACGTAGCAGAGCAGGATGATCTGTAGGAACAACGAGACGAGGAGAACGAGGAGCAGCAAGGAAGTAGAAGGAGAGGAGGAGGAGAGGGTTGGAGAGGAGACAAGTCAGGCACACTGTGCGGAGGAGGACTGGATCATCACAGTGAAGACGCTGACGGTGAGCATCCTCTGCATGGTCTCCCTCAACCGTTTGCTCCTGTCGAGGTACGAGCCGATGGCAGCCGAGCCGCAAACACCTCCGATGAGGATGAAAGTTCCTGTTCAACCCCGTCAGCTGCCCAGCACGTCGGGCGCCTCTTGACCGAGCAGGCCGGCCTGATCGTCAGTGTATCCTGCGAGAGACTTGAGGGAGGACGAGGGGAGAGGCAAGAGGACCAGCAGGGTGCATCAAGTCTCCGATGAGGGTGGAGATGGCGTTGAAGACCCCGAACCCTGAGAGGAGGGTGTAAGTGCCCAAGGTTGCGAGTTGAGTGAGAGAGGAAGCAGAGGGTGGGATGGCAGGGAGGCAGGGAGGCAGGAATGCCAGCAGGGAGGGGAGGAAAGGGGAGGAATGGGGAAAAAGAGAGGGAAGGAGGGAGGGAGGGAGGGAGGGAAGGAGGGAGGGAGGGAGGGAGGGAGGGACAGGGAGGGACAGGGAGGGAGGGAGGGACAGGGAGGGACAGGGAGGGACAGGGAGGGAGGGAGGAATATGGAGGAAGCGAGTACAGAAGACAAGATGATCACGTTCGGAGGTGGAGGTCACCTAGGCTGAAAACGACGAAGAGAACAAGGAAGTTGAAAGAGCTGATACAATCTTTCATCTCGGTGAAGAGATGATACAAGCCCTCCTCTCCTCGCTTGACCACCACCATCTCATTCATCTCCTCCGGAGTTCGCTCGACAGAGAAAGCCGACGTGATGCAGAAAGTTGCCAAGGTGAAGGAGCAGAGAGCTGTCGCAGCAAGTGCTTGCATGCTCACCAGTCTGCAACCCACTCTTCAACGATCAGAGGACCGAGGCATGGCATGCAGACCGTTGGAAGTCGGGGAGGAGAGGAAGGGAGGAGGAGGACGAGTTGGTGGGAGAGATCAGCATGGGCGAAACCCCAAGCCCGATGCCTGCACCAGGGCTCCGCACTCAGGCCCTGTCGAGCAGTGAAGGCATTCTCACCGGAGCCGACGGCGTTAGACATGGAGGCGATGGATGTCGCCAAGTTTCTCTCGTGCTGAGGGAAGTAAGCTGAGGTGCCGACATGCTCAGTCAGAAGCGCCAACGAGCAAGTCGCCAGTCATGACGACTCACCTGCTGAGAGCGCGGCAGGCGCGTTCATGAACACGACGTTGGCGATGGATTGAATGATCTGGCCAGTGAGCAGAGACTGGAAGCCATCGGAGGCTCCTCCCGATATCCTCATCCTGGAAGAACAAGCTGTCAAACCTGCGGAGGGCGGAGCAGTCTACCACGATCCCACGCATGTCAGTAAGGTCGCTGCGATCACCCCGACCGACAGCCCGAACTTCTCCAGGAAGAAGGCAGCCGGGAACACGAACAGGACGTACACAATCTGCAAGAGCATGTCAAAGAGAATAAGGAGAGCGAGGAACACAACCATGTTACAGCTGGTCAGACTGTCGGCAAGGTCAGAGCTGACATGATAGAATCGCTGGACATCTGGAGGAAAAGAGTGAAGAGAGGGGCACCAACGCTGTCCTGCATCTTGTTTACCTGTAGCGATCGGCGCAAACGTGATAATTTGAACTGGATGAAAGCTACGTCAATTCGCGAAAGATCCTCTAAGGTAGAGACCTGTGTTGGATATACATGCGGCCGAGAAGGCAAGTAGCATCAACCATCGCAACATCCCGAACCGCTGCATTCTTCTCCCGCAACGACACCGGCCTGTGGCGCTGATATCCCACGACCACTCTCTCTAACTCTCCATCTGGCTTCTCAAATCGACCCGATCCTGTTCAAACCTTTCCGCCCTCTTGTTCCACTTCCCGCTAAGCTTTGACGAAGAGAGCTTGTATCTTTGGCTGAGTCTCTGCATGAGCTTGCTGAAATCCCTCTTTTCCCCCTTCCCCTTCCCCCTTTCCCTCCCTCCTTCCCCTCCCTCCCTCCTCCTCTACTGAGGACATGGTCTACTCAACCTGTAGTTGAGGAGCTTCATTTTTGATCGGACTCACTTTGATTGAGTGCACCACGACCATCGGGGGCCGGCACTGCCCGGCCTGCTGGGCCGTGGCCCGGGCGGCCCGGGTTGCAACTCAAGGCCCTGAGAGTCGAGGAGGCTTGACCCTCGTTTAACTCAGTGATACCTTCACTTGATAGTAACTGGCAGACTCAGCTGTCCGATCTCGAAGTCCCGGCCCGGTCCGGCCCGGGCTCAGTGACTCGGAACTTAATCGGATTATCATAGTATAGCCTGATCCGACGGACTCATCCGCTGCCCGTGATGGAACGTATGCCAGCCGTGCCAGTCAGATAGCGCCGAGTTAACAAAAACTCTCCTGTAAACCATCTTGTTAAGGTCCTCTCATGTCTGGATGCTTTGGTTTCAACCGTGTTTCAGCATCCTAGCATACACTCTATCTCTCATGTGCTCCTCAATTCTGTTTTTGTGTGCATTAAACGTGACTCGGTCTTGAGCAAAAACTGTCTTGTTCAAATTACAACTAAGGTCGATGTGGTATCTGCGTGACTTTGGACTAGTACAAGTCTAATAAACTTGTATTCCGGGTGTTCATCGAGTCCGCAGGCCCTGCCGTTTCCGAGGCCCTTGCCAAGTTGAAAGTGTCGCCAGCCACTGTACTTCACAGGCTACTGTACTAGGCGAGTGGCACGGCCCGGGGGGCCGCCCGGCGAGCGGCTGAACCTGTTGAACAGCCGGCATTTGACGGCCGTTCAACAGTTGTGACATTAAATTCACTCATCAAAGCTGAATAACTGCTTTTCGGGGTCACGTCCCCGCATTGAAGTCCATTGCTAGCAACCCCACTACTGACAGGTATCCCCTGGGTTCGTCTCCTTCAAGCTCTTGGTTCTACGGCTCTTTGCTGACATAGTTGCGGCGAGCCGGACTACCCCCGCTAGCAGGTCAAACGAGAGGCCTGAGCCGAAACTTGCGACGGTTCGAATCTGAAAGGAGCTTTAGTGGTAGTGTTATCCACGATCGTAAAACTATTTCGTGATATCCCTGCAGTACCGGTCCTGTCATGTGATGTTCACCCCTGTTTTCAACACCACCCCTCTACGTTCACCGCGTGACCGGCTCTGAAAACAGCATCTGAGATCACCGATGACATTTTAACATTTTAAACAGGGGTGTAGGTAGGCCCGTGACCATCACCAGGGGGTACTGCCACCGATGTACGATTCTGAAGGGTCTACTAGCTACTGGGGGTAGGGTACGTTCAAGGGTGAAGTTTGGTGGGGAGACGTGGGGGTGGTGGGGGTTATAGTGGTCGAGGGACCGTACAGACTTGTAGCCATCCCACTGAAAGGACTACCCCCTGGCTAGACTCTTTTTTCAGTGGGTGGTGGGGGTAGGGTCATAGTGGCAAGATTGATACAGTAAACTGGAACTCCTCGTAGACAGCACAGCGGGTCGAGGGAACTTGGGGTGGGGTGGTAAGAGATGGAGTAGGGGTGCATATGACTGTACAAGAAAGGGTGATATGGGGTGGTCTTGGTAAGGAGGGACTGGTGGGTTACCTTCAAGTTGATCTTGATCGGCTTGAGACCTTACAGGGACACTGACGGGGGGTACTCAACAGTAGGGTGGGTACAGTCAGCCAAGGGGTGCAGGAGAATGGTATGAGGGTACTGGAGGGGTACAATACCCACGATTAGACGGATATAAATAGGGGTGGTGGTGAGTGGAAAGATTTCAGGGGTGCAAATTGGGCGGGTGGGGGTAGGTAAACAAGGTTGAGGGTGCCGCGCGAGATGAATGAGCTATTATTACGGAAGGGGGCGAGATAAGGAAGAGGAGAGAGGAGAGATAAGCGAGGAGAGGAGAGGAGAGGAGAGGAGAGGAGAGGAGAGGAGAGGAGAGGAGAGGAGAGGAGAGATACAGAGAGATACAGGAGAGGGAACTTAGGTTAGGTGAACAAGCGAGGCTGCGAGAAAACGAGGTTCAAGAAGCAATAATACCTTCAATATGAGGTCAGGAGACTCTCTGTTGAGGAATCAAGTCTGAAGGATCAAAGCTATTCTGAATATTCATCGTAAAACTGAACTTCAATACACAAGGACGTCCCAGTGATCGAATGGATTTCTCTCGGCCATGAAAGAGAGTACTACAACAGCTTCTGGTTGTAATCAAGACAAAACCATGCATCCTGAAAAGGGCTCAACTGACGAGGCCCAGGAGATGATAATCGATCTCTTGACCCAGAAGGAACTCGAGAAGAAGCGCATGATCAACTGGTGTAGAAATGCCACAATTGTTCATCCAAAGATTGTACCCCGCTCTGCGAGATCAATTTTACAAGCTGCCAGCATGGCAGTACTGCGGCATTACAGCGAGAGCTTTTGCTGCTCACTGTTGCATGACATGCACACTCTGCTGAATCAGAAGCATCATAACTTCCTGTTGAACCGATGGTTGAGCGACATGAAGCGAAGGGGAGGGATACTTTCGTTCAAAAGCGAGTGGAACGAAATCGCCAACCTCAACCCTCTTGCAAAGAGGATCTGCAAGCCCATCTATCTCATGGCCCTGGCGCACATCCTGCAGAAGAACATCATCGTGGTTGAGTGCGAGTCAAGGAGACACACCGGAAAGCACTCCTCCCCCCTCAAAGTCAGCAGCGGGGTGCAAGGGATTTATCTGCCGCTCGACCTGGAGACATGTTCCCAGGAATTTCTGATGTTCGCATTCATTGGAAACGACGTCTACCTACTTGAGGCCCCTGAGAACGCGGTACGCTCCCCTTCCGATTGCCCTCCTCCTCCCTGCCCTCCTCCTCCTTGCCCGAACTCCCGTGCGCTCGTCGCATTTGCCGCTGACCACCCCCCGCAGAGCAAGGTGATGTTTCCCCTGGTCACCTGCAAGGGCTCGCTGCTGCCCGTCAAGTTCTTGAAGGATACGGAGAGCGAGGACGAATGCTTGAAGTCCTACCTGTCTGTCGTAGCTGCAGACGTCTTCCCCAACCTCGTCGACCCTGACTTCCCTAACGGAGTTCCGGTCTTGTGCGCGCAGTTCGAGAGGGCGACGGTCTCGGGCCACCTGGACCATTCGCTCACCATCACGTCAGGGCAGGACTGCAACGCCGGCAACTTGGATGCTGAGAAAGAATCGTCTGACGACGAGCTTGTCCTCCCTGGAGGAGCTCAGAGGGTTCTTAGCGGACATGCCTTCGAGAGGACGGGATCTGACCATGGCCGAACTTTCAGCATTCCCTTCAGGGACGAGGACTCTCCTAGGAGCTTCGCGATGGGCGGGTTGAGGAGGATCAACAGCGACACGGCTCTGCACAGTTACGGAGGAGACGACTTGAACGTCATGCAGCCCGGAGTCCTGCTGCAGAAATGTCTGACGAACCTCAAGGCGGACGACTGCTTCGCAAGGAGCGGGACACCGCCACGGCCACGAGCGAGTGACCAGCACGACAGCAGCCCTGAAGGATCTGAGAGGAGGGTGACCTTCGGGCTGAACGAGACCATCATCTTAGGATGATGAGCCCCGTGCTTGTCTGCTGTATATACGAGATGGGATGTAAGCGCACTGGGAATCTTCTGAAGTAGTTTTGAGAGGAGGTGATTTTCTTTTTTTGAGCCTGTTGATATCGAATGATGAGAATTCCAAAGAATTCATACCCACCAGAGACACAAGGCGAACATCAAACATTTATTTCTGATCGCACACTCCTTTCTTGCACTTTGCCCCTTCACTTCAGATTAGAATTGTTTGTTACACCTCCGTATGAATCATGTGGATATCAAATATCTACATCCAAGTCCACTCTTGCCACTCTGCATCTCCACATCCCCTCTAGTTCAAGTTGATCTTTGAGGCGAGCTCACCGGGCAGGTCAGGTTTTTCTTGCACAACTTGCTTCAAGAGGGGAGCGTTGAGACGAAGCTCGATCTCCGTCATGGCACTTTCATTCTGTTGGGAAGATCAGGATGGGAGAGAACGTGAGAGAACAAGAACAAGAACAAGAACAAGAAAAACAAGAACAAGAGAGCAAGAGAACAGAAGTAATCAAAGACGAAAGGAGAGGTGAGAAATCGGACGAGAAAGAGAGGGAAGGAAGGGCGGAGGGAGAAGGTACAGGAGCGATGTACATCTAGCATCGTCGTCTCACCTCGTTGTAATAGTCTTTCATCATTCTTTGCTTGTCCAGCATGGCCTTCTGCTGCATGCACTGCTGGTGTCTTAGCACCTTATTCCTTTGCTGCTCCCTCTTGAAAGCCTCCGCTTCCCTCTTCATCTCTTCCGCCAGCAGGCGTTCCTCCTCCTTCCTCCTCATCTTTTCCTCCTCCTGCATCTGTATCTGCCTCTGCAAGAAGGCGTTGTTCTCCTTGACGATCCTGTCATGGCGCAGGCGATCATTGCGCTCCCTTTCCATGTCCCTCCTGTATTGCTCGTCCTGCGCCTTCTGCACGCGCTCCTCGATGTTGCGCTCCACCTCTGCCGCCTTGTTCTCCATCTCCTGCCCCATCCTCTCCGCAGCCTTGAGCCTCAACTGCCGGTCCTGCTCCCTCCGCGCCCTTTCGTTCTCCTGCCTCTCGGTCAGTCTCGCACTGCAGCAAGGGCTGTCCTCGCCTGTCGCTCTGCCATCTCCATCTGCACGCGGAACAGCCTCTCGTCGAGCTCCCTCTCCTGCCCAGCGTTCACAACCAACCGCACTGCCTCTCACCCTCACCTCTTGCTTCTGCTGCCGCTTCCTCTCCAGAACTTTCTCGTTCTCCTTGAGCACAGCCTGCGACGAGGTAAGACGAGCAGAATTCCCAGCAGAGATCCAGTGACCTCATACTGAGCTCTTTTCTCCATTGTAGCTCTCGCCCTCATCTTTTTGTCCTCTTCTATCTGCATCGGAAAAAAAGCTGCTGTCAGGACTGATCTTGAGAAGCACACGACATTTCCTCTTGCTGGAATTGTTGGATGATAGCAGCTTCTTCCTGCATTTGCTTCTCAGCCTGCACAGGATTCAGATCTGACGCCTTGCGCTGCATCCTCTTTGAGACCTGCATCTTCTTCCTATCCTGAGCCCTCTTCAGCTCAATGGCCTCTCTCTTGCGCTCCTCAAGGAGTTTTTGCAGTTTCTCATTCTCAATGAGCTTCATCTCTTGTTGCCACTCTTCATACCTGCAAAAGCACGCGCTCCATCACCCACACGGAAGCTTTCAGATCGCGAGAAAAGTACTTCTTTCGCTGCTCATCAGCAACCCTTCTTTCTTGTTCCTTCACCGCAGCTTTCTGCTTCTTCCTCTCTTCGATCTGAGCAGCAAGTTCTTCCCGCGTCCTCTGCTGCTCATTCTTGACTTTCTCTTTCATTTTCTTCTGCTCCTCGTAATGCTTCACATCATTGTACAGAGTCATCACGCTCCACTCATCAATCTGCGATCAAGCTTCAGTCTCCACCCGCCAGCCATCATCGCCACTCAACCTGCTTCCTTCGCTTCGATGGAGACGTCTGCGTGCTGGCAGTAGGAGGAGGTTGAGGCCTGTAGCTGTTGACCTCATCTACTTCAGTACGTCTGGGATAAGAGTCTTGCTCAGCATGATCAGAGACGGCCGCTGCTTCTGGAATTCCATCCATCGCAGAGAATTTTCTCTGGAGATCCTTGAGTTGTTTGTCTGTCAGCCGACCATGCGTGAGGATTTTCTCCACTTCCTCCACGGCTTTCAGGTAGATCGCGTCGTTACCTGCCTTCTTGTTCTGGTTTCTCATGTCAGCATCCATTAGATTCGTCCCATGACTCACCTTTCTGTGATAGTCCTTGAGCAAATTGTTCACCAGCACTTCCTTCAACTTGGAGAACTTGCTAGAATCTGTTGTTCGTACCGACGAATGTGACCTTGCCGTGTTTCCCCGCGCTGTTGCATTCCCTTGGGCTTGCTTCTGGTAGTTTCCTTTGCTGTGAATCCTCGGCAGCATCGTGACCTATCACTCTACTCTCCTATCTCGTTGCTGTCTAACACATCCACTGGCACGACCGAGCAGGATGACAAGAGCGGGATGTTGGTGAAGAGGAGGTTTTGAGAGGAGGAGGACGAGGAGGACGAGGAGGACGAGGACAAGGAGGACGAGGAGGACGAGGAGGACGAGGAGGACGAGGAGCAGGACGAGGAGGACGAGGAGGACGAGGACGAGGAGCAGGACGAGGAGCAGGACGAGGAGGAAACGCCGGGAAGGTGTTGCGGAGGGGATACGCAGGAGCGGAACTGCCAACGGCAGTCAGTTACCACCGTGATGAAGCTGGACCGGTAGTACATCCACCCGCAGGTTTGGTCCCTATCAATTTGGGGGTAAAAGGTTGTGAAAAGTAAGGGTCCATTTCAGGCGTTGGAAGGAGGCGAGGAAAATGGGGGGTTCTGTTACAAGGCGCTGTACAGGGGGTGGTGGGTCCTTGCCTTGTTAGTTAACTAAAACTAAGAAGCCCAGCTAAATCGCATTTCAAAATCGAATAAGCTTACTATCTTTATTCCGAGCTAGGGCCACTGGGCCAGCGACTAGACTTTAGACTCGGAGCCTCCGCTCACGGCGCCCCGCGACTGCTTTCGAGTCTCAGTCAGACCTTATCAAGGTCATTGAATGCTCGAGTGAGGCACTAGAGAAGATGACCTAGGGGTAGACCCCCGCCCACCTAGTGCTTCAAGGTCTAGCCTGCGACGGTGAGTTCTCGAAAAGGCTCGATTTCGAAATGGCAAAACCTCCCCCAGCCCACAAAGAGCACAAACGGCCCAGTCCGTGTCCGATGTCCTCGCCTCGTCCTCGCCTCATCCTCGCCCCTCGCCCTTCTACCTTCTGCTTCCTGACATGCACTCCTCTAACTTGTCGAGCGGCGACCCGTCGCCGCCCCAGCTCTTCGAGCAGTACTTCGGGCATAGCCCGACCATCGCTGTGGTGACAACAGAGGAGAACCTTCTGGTGGACTTCACGAGGCCTGATGGCAAGATTCGCTCAGCTGAAAGCTATCCGCGCTCAAAAGGTGGAACAAGTATGGATGACCAGAACGCACACGTTTCCCAGAGAAAACCGAGGGCTTCTGATGACGGACAAAGTATATAGATCAGTGGATGAATGAGCCAGAAAAAAATCGAATCTAACTTCGAAACATGAAGCTCTTGAATGTGTAACTTTTTGCAAGCCAAAGAAACGGACCCTGTCGGGGCGAGCTCAACTAAGACTGAAGGACTCAAGGGAAGGAATAGCAAGTTAAGGGACGGCATTCAAGACTAGGCTTAGCCTTTCTTCAACAAAGTCAGACATATTGAATACGAAAGGACTAGAAGCATAGGATGACTCAAAGTGCTCTGGGGGATACCCCCTGGTGGCAGGAGCACTTGTTATATTCCTTGTTTTATCCTATATAAGTGAAATTCTCTTCATCTACCCAGTATTGTTTTGCAAACTTATCTGGCATCGCTTGCTTTGTGTAATCCGTAGACATCTGCTGACCAAATGTCAAGCTCTAACTTACAGAGCCCAGAGCCGTCAAGTCTCAGAAGGATGGCAGGTCTGATCAAGAAGCTCAAGGCACCTGAAGTGAAGAGCCTATCCAGGCAACACCATGTTCTTAGATAACTACTTGTGAAAAATGCCGCTTTTTCTGCCTCCTTCAAGTCAAGAACAGAATCTTTGACAAAGTGTTACTGATTTTGTTGAAGAATTTCCTGCGAATCCGAACTTCACTGTCAGATCTCAGCCGGTACCTCAGTCTCAAGTTCTGCACAACGTGAACGATACCCGTGAGGCTTCGAGTCGAGCTGCCGCGACGGACATGATCGGACAGACTGTGACTGAAAGTTGTGACGGTATCAAGCCTGATTGTCGCTGCCCCTCTGGGGGGGGCCTGAGGGGGAAGGGCCCTTCATGAGTTTCAAGTTACCGGCGGTTAGTTCCGTTCCGACTAGGCTTCCGATCTGATGATTGGCCCGTCTTTTTGTCCGTCACTGTATGGCGAATTTATCACTCAGAAATGTTCAAATATGACGCAAGAATATCACTTGCTATGCGTGAAATACCCATGTGATCATCAGTGAAATTTGATGTCAACCATGAAATCTCGACTCGATCCCAACTATTAGTTTATAATATAGGGGGCCCCGTGTCATGATCAGGCTCCGACCCCAAGAGTCACGGTCAAGGGTCTTTTCAGAAGTTGGAAGCGCCAGGACTTATTAAGGAGTAGTACCGGAGACTTCACTCATCAGAGGAGCCATTTTTCAGAGTCTCGAGCCTTTTCCCTGTCGGAGTCCGTCGGGTCGCCTTTGAGGCTCTTCAGGGCCTCAAGTTATGACCTCCTGGACCTCTTGTCTCGCCCACCGCGGGCTTGATCTGCAACCTCTCTAGCTCTTCTCCATCGTTGTAGACTCGCTGTGAACACCGTCGGTGTTGTGTTCTGCCGACTCTCTGTTCTTGTGCTTCACTTACTGTTCTGTTCTATAAGTTGAAGGAGCCTAGCGTGCCACATCCCCTGAGAGAAGCTGTAAGTTGCATCCATGCTGCAGTTGAGTGTCGACCCCTCCCCACCCCAGCTCTTCGAGCAGTACTTCGGGCATAGCCCGACCATCGCTGTAGTGACGACAGAGGAGAACCTTCTGGTGGACTTCACGAGGCCTCAACGATGCGATCGTTCGTCGGGGAATCGGATGAAGCTCACCTATCAACCACAACCTAACAATGGTTCAGGAAGCCTCAATCAATTTGAACGCGATCAAGTCGAAAGCATTGCCGAGGAAAATGAGGGGGTACGAGGAGCATGGACATAGTGTCCGGGGCGGCTGGCAGAGATGAAGAAGCAGATCTCCAAAATGAAAAGGATTCTCGAGACCGTTTCTGTGCAATCAAGTGAATAACAAATACACAAGTACAGTTTTGAGCAATAAAGCACAACCAGTTCTGATCTTATCATCGCTACATGAAAGTCAAGATACGCCTTGATGATGCGATGACGATATCCTTCTGTATGGGTTTGATTTAAGCTGTTGTTATAAGAGTCCTTTCGGGCAACTGTTGAGAGACAGCTATGTTGCAACGATGTTTGATACTATCAGCTCACATGGCAAGAAGGCAAAGGAAACACAAGCATCGATCAACGACGGCTCTATCTCGATGGGCGGTTGAGTTGTGATCAAGGAACGTGTTCTCAGCTATTCATGTCGTTCGTGATCGTATTGTCACAAGTAGAAGTCAACAGGGTCTCTGCAGTCCTCTGCCATCGGTCGAAGTAAAAGACATCAACTTTAGACCCATGTAATAATCAGATACACTGACACGACTGTGTTAGCGTTCCGTGATCACAGCGATCGCATCAGTATCACCATACTTGTGACATTGCTGCCATGGGTCAGTGTTTCCATCGCTGTTTCCATCGGTGGTCAGACCGAGATGAGGCGGGCCCACATCTGATGCAGGAGTCTCATCTGAGACTAGATCCGAACCTGGGTACAAATAGGTAGTTACACCTGCTGACAGGAAGCGTCTTGTACTCTACCAAAAGACTCCTTTTCGATGCATGTAAGACTTGCGCACCAACTTTTACGTCGGCTATAACCTGTTTCTTCTACGCCCTTCAACGCACCCTTCACGCCCTCGTTCCCTCACTTCCTACTTGCTACCGTCTCCTTCCACAACCTTCTCGTCCTTTCAAAGTTCCCCACCATCTTGTCCTACCCGAACAAACTTGCACTCATTCCCGTACTGTCCTTGCTCAGTTCGTTATGCTGTCTCCTGCTCAACCCTCCCCACCCCAGCTCTTCGAGCAGTACTTCGGGCATAGCCCGACCATGGCTGTGGTGACGACAGAGGAGAACCTTCTGGTGGACTTCACGAGGCTTCAACGATGCGATCGTTCGTCGTGGCATTCTAGCAATAGGTGTGATGAGAAATGTATCAAGGAAAGTCAGGATGATGTGAGAGAAGATGCAGCAAGACGCAAGTCTGTGGCAGGAGACAACACATGGAGTATCTCTGACGATTCTTATGTGTATGAACGCTCCATATCGAAAGATTACAAAAGCTTGCGGAATCAAATAAAATGAAACCTGACAAGTGCTGCACATGCGTGCACAATGACATTCGAACCACTTCATACATCGTAGGGCGGTGTAACGTAGCGGAGCTGATCAGTTTGATGCTGTTCAGTCTCACAACGATGTGCAAGTTAAGTCATCGTCGGGGTTGCGAAGAAAAGTAGAGGAGTCTGATGACAATTGTTTTAGAAATGCACAAGGCATGGATGTAACGAGTTTACACTTACAAACTCGTCTGAGTGAGTGAGTGAGGGAGAGAGGGGGAGGGAGAGAGAGATGAGACAAAAAGGAGGCAGCTCAAACCTACCCCAACCACACAAGCGACTCTGCTAAGTGACTGCAGGTACTTACCGTACGACATGCATCAGAACAAAGAGTTGTTGCGCAGATGTGCCTCAGAAGAATATTGCCAACACAGGAGAGGCAGCTCGTACTCCAGTCAGCATCAGTGCCAACGAGTCACGCGGCCCAACTTGAACTCAAGTTTTTGTATCATAGTATGATCGGCTGGAGTCAGCTGAGGCGGACTCGCTCTGGTGATCTAGTCAAACCAACTGAACATGGAAGAGCACGATGGGGAACAGACGAGTACTTGAGCTGTCCTTACAGACGTATCTTGCTTGCCCTTGGTATCTACCTCTCCCCTCTCTCTTCACTCCCCCTTCCCCTTCCCCTCCGACTGACAGGGGTGTGGCAGGCTACTATCACGGTAGGATGCTGTTCCAAAGCCCTAGGACGCCTGCAGGCACATGGCATGCGAAGCAAACCAAGGAGGCAGCAGAGCTTTTCATAGCAGGTTGACATCCCAATGCTTCAATCGTTTGTAGTGACGGAAGTGAACAGCGCTCGAGTACAATCAGTTGAGCTGTGAAGAAGGCTTCTACAGGCTTGACAAGGATCAGGATGGGTTTGTCTCTTTTGAGGTAGTTGTTTGTTTGTGCATGATGAGAGCCTGGGGTGATCAGGAGATGAGAAGCTGCTTTTCTGCCAGGATCTGGTGGAGGGTGCAGAGGAGCTTGACCTCGGGGTCACAGTTGAAGACATCAGATCACTACATCAGGAAATGGACATGGTTTGTATCCTCCTGCTCTAAGAAGTCTACCTAAGATAGTTTGCAACAGCACGGGGACGGTCTTGTAGAGCTTGACAGCTGGATGAAGCTGCTGTGGAGAAAGAATGCTCGAGACATCATGCTGGATAAGATCGGCCAGCCTGGCGGGGTTGTATCATCAGCGCAATATGAGAGGGAGAGCAGAGCTGGCATGAAAGCTGATGCTTCAGACCTTGATCTGCCCATATCTAGCACAGACAGGAAATTGGGCAAAAAGTGGACGATGACCGAGAACGAGAGTCCGGATTTGATTTCAGACCAGAAAGAAGTTGAAAGCATGCGGCTATCAGAATCAGGCAAAGAGCCGCAGAGTGACATGTTCAAGAGTCTTGAGGAAGCTGCAGCAGAGGCGGCTGGACAACCTGCGCTTAAGGTTGTGGGGAGAGAGGAGGGAATGACTTCGAAGCAAGATGAAACAGAGCAAGTGATGATCGAGGAAAGTACCGTTGAGGTAGAGCAGAGGGGGGAAGAGCAGAGTAAGACCTCGAGCAGGAGTCGGGGAGAACAGATAAGGGCATTGAGCAAACCAACGGAGGAAAGTTCGCTGTCGTCTGATGAAGAGGAGCAGGAGCAGGTAGCAAGGCCAATGCCCATGATCGAGAAGGACGATGAGCAGAGAGAGGCTGCGAGTTGTTCGAGTGGCGATGGTGAGAGGAGATTGAAGGATGTAGAGAGCGGCGGGGGAGGAGCGATGGGAGAGGGGAGAATAGGAGGCGTTAATGCGACGAAAGCAGCAGAAACGATGGAAGGGAGAGACGTAGATCATCATGAATTGAATGCTCGGGCCATCATCCCTTCGGCGATCCAGCCAGATACAACTAGCGATCAAGCAGCTCCGGGCGAGACTCCAAGGCTCAGTGTAAAGGAGTGTGAAGAAGCCTCCGACATGCTGAGAGCGACTGGACAACATGTACGACATGATTTCTTACAATCGTTGCGTGAACACTGGCATGTACAGGATCGTGGATGCTGCAGTGGCGATGTTCTGATCGTTCAGCCTGTTCTTCACCGAACTCAGGAAATCCCCGTCTTGGACAAGGAGTTTGCAACCTTGGTCTGACAAGTAAGCTTGTGTGATGCGTACTGTAACCTAGGTCCAGGCTGTGTCGACCATTGCACAGACCTTGGGGCTGAAACCATCGGACGCGTGCTTGAAGCACGTCAACGTCACTGGCTCCCAAGTGATCCTTGAGATCCATGTCAGCGTGCAGGGGGTGCGGGAGACCGAGCGGTCGGGGAGGGCAAATCTTGAGTTTCATCTCTTCAAGGTAAGCACGTCGTTCCCAGCATCCCCCCCACCATTATTGCCCTCTAACGCCATGCAGCTTCTGTTGGCAGATGTCGAGAGCGAGCACAGCAAGCTTTTGGGAGCAGACGGACTGTGCTGGATGGAGGAGATCGTTGTCCGCGGCTCCGAGGAGAGCTCCTACATGCTACGCATCCCATCACACCGCAAGAGAAGAAACCAGTCAGCCTCATCGTCGTCATCGTCGTCGTCAAAGGTTTAAGATGTTGCGTCTCAAAAATGTTCTTCTAACTTGCACCAAGGTTGATGCCACAGCAAGTAGAGCTGCCATGACCCTCCCCGAAGCCGCACCAGGTGACATGCATGTGCAAATACGACCTGAATGACCAACAGCCTTCAGAGTCGAGCAGGAGTAGCAAGTACAATCTCCGCACCCGAGTGGGAGGATCAGCGGGAGATATAATCAGCGGGTGACCAGAAGGAGCGTAGAAGCAAGCACAGCAGGGAATTAGCCTAGAGAAATTGAGTGCGAGCATGAAATCAGCTTGTCATTGGTTGAACTGATCCGAGATCAAGACAGCTGTCACTCTTCTTCAGCGCCATGTCTTCCCACCCCCGCACCCCCCCGCACGCCAACATGCCCGTCATATATAAACAGTCGTGTGCACTATTCTGCATCTGCCTTCAAGTGGCAGAGCTTTCGTGGGAAAGTTGGTTAATCCGTGTGCCTGACACGCACAAGATCCCCAGTTCGAACCTGGGCGAAAGCACTTACTCTTTTAGTATCTGCTTGTGGCATTGCCGGACAATCCTTTTTTTGGGGCCACCGAAGTCGCCGGGCCCCACCGGGTGAACAACCGGCGTTGAACGGAACGACGTGCACTGGGACGGGCGGCGACCGGGTTAACCGAGCCCGTGGCTCCTCAGTGCTCGGGACTGTTTATTAGTGATGAAAAAAAAAGTTTATTACCGTACTGATTAACTTTGAGTAAAGGGATTAGTACTGTCGGACTTCTACGGGCCTGCCCGCCGGGCCGAGGCCCGGCGAGGCCCGGCGGCCCGAGTCCTAACTCTGATGCGGGCCCTAACCTCCCCGACAGTTTTTTGATCACTGGATCATCTGGAATAGAGGGGGGTAGAGGGTGGTCAAGTACCCGTACGTTTCCTTGTGAAAGGAGTGGTGATGGAGGGTTATATAAGGGGTAGTACAGTGACGGACGGTTTGGCTATGCACACCGCGCTGTGCTGGGAAGGAGTCGACAAGAGAAGGAGCAGAAGAGGCAGAGGAAGGAGGGAAGAAGAGAGCGATAGCGCAAGATGTTGTGATGCAAGGGAAGACAAGTGAGGAAGGAAAGTTGTTGCTGAGACTGAGTCAGGACAAGAGGAGGATGGAACGAAAGGTGGACGTCACAAGATGCTATTTCATTCGAGAGTAGAAAATTTTGTTTTGCATCTGACAATGAGTACAGGAAGGACGAGAGAACCTTTCAATGTGGAGAGCAGCAATCTTCCATGATGGGGAGATGCTCTCAAAAACATCACGCAGTTAAGATGCAATGATGGGAAAAACTGTGAGAGCTTCGGTAGTTCTTCATCATTCTATCGAACAACGCCTCCGCTCCAAGAGCTTCGAAAGCTTTCGAACACGACGTCTGAGACTTTGAGAACTCCATACTGAGAGATACACTCATGGAGTCGCAAAGAGCGCTGGCTGCTGCGAATCTGTTCATCGCAGGTACCTTGTGCCCTGAATTCCCAGTAGGATTGTTTGATGGGATGGCAGCGCTGGAATACAATGATCTGAGCTGCGAGGAAGGATTTTATCGACTTGATCACGATGCTGATGGATTCCTCTCGTTGGAGGTGAAAGAACAAAAACTCCCTGCTTCATGCGCTCACCACTGTGTTACCTTTGTCTTGGATCCTTTCTTTCTTGCACATCCCATGAACATGCAAGCGTCTGATCTGTTCGTAGGACTTGATGGATGCTTCAGAAGAGCTTGATCTTGGTCTCGCTTTGGAAGACATCAAAATCTTCTACCATGCCATGAGCGAGGTTGTTTCCCTTTGAACTTGACACCCTTGTTGAAGATGTCATTCCATACAGCGAGGAGAGCTTATCGAACTCGATCGATGGATAAAGTACATGTGGAGAGACAACCCCAAACAGATCTTGTTCGAGAAGATCCGATCACCAGGGCATGATAGCAACATGTTTGACAGCTCTCTCAGCGCTCAGACAAGACTGCATGAGTCGGATGGCGGGGAAGGTCGATTTTCGGATCAGCTCGAAAGTAAGCTTGTTTTCTGGGAGAGGGATTGTGTCATTTGAGGTCATTTCTTGGCAGAGAACAATTCTTCCATATCTTCAAGAAGCTTCAACCTGCTTGATTCCAGCCTGCACACAGAGGTCAACGAGTCCAGCACACAGACCGACGTGGTGGCTGAGGTAAGAACCGTGCCGTGACGCGGCCGTTGCGCTCCTTGCTAAGATCGACCTGCTGAGATTGACCTTGGCTCGAAGGCATTGCGGCCTGTGCTGCCAGGAGATAGAGAAAGAGATCCCAAGGAAGTGGACAGGACACTGAAGATACAACTGAAGATGTCAAACAAGATGGACGAAGTGATACAAGTGGATGACTTTCAGAATCAGGTTTTGAGTTCTCGGCTGAATGACTTCGATGACCAGATTGCATTCTTTCCTTGTAGGTTGTTATGGACTGTTGTCAAGCGTTTTCCTTGCAAGCAGACACGTTCAGGATTGAAAACGTCTTGTTTGGAAAGGAGATAATAATCAATTTGGCTTCGTTACCAGCGCCTACAGAGAGTCAAAGGCTCGATGCCCATCCGTTTTACAAGGTTATCGTTGTTGTCATCTGTGATGGGGATGGTGAAGTTGAATTCACAGCAAATCGTCAACAAACTTGAAGAGGACTCGAACGCGTTGACGGGAGGGAAATTTACCAAATATGCAACGTCGTTGAGAATGTTCACAAGCTCCTCCAATGATCCCGTCGGGGAATCATCTGATACCTTCGTGATGAAGCTGGCTCCTGCCCATAGCCTCTCGACTTCACTGCAAGAGACAGATCTGACCAAGATGTTGGCGGAACAGGTGACGAGGTCTGCTGTGGAGATGAGGGTTGATGTAAGTGCAGGAACAGTTGGTGAAGTCATTGAAGTCAATTGTGGACAAGAGTCGATCCATCGATTCTCTTTCTTTCGGTTTGCTCTCTGCATTGAATCAATTCATAAAACTGATGCCAAGGTGTCCAGATTCGAGTAGAGTAGAAGATCGTAGCTCTGAGAGCAGGCGAGATTCTCTGAGGGTGAGAGCTGTTCTTTTCAATCGCCAGTATGACATGTCTCGTGCTCTGACGTTCTTTGACAGGAGGTTGGAAGAGACAGGGTGGAGGATACGCGCGATAGCTACCAGGATTACAGGAAGGTGGAGAAGAACTATCACGTTCAGGTTGCTGCAGAGGGTTCACCCTATCATGGCCACTCGATCTCAGCCGACACTCCGAGCAACAGGAGACGACTGGAGGGTGGGGGGGAGGAATGGGAGAAAGGGTGGGGACAAATCAGCCACCATGGCAACTCATCATCAGCTTTCGGCTCGCAACGAGTTGATCGTAATGGCGTATCGACTTTCGCCGACCTGCCCGCTCACCACACGTCTCGACCAGACGCTCAACGGTCAGACCCTGTCAAGTCATGGCGGGATGGGAACTCGGCTGATTGGGACAAGGACAATTTGTTCGCAAAGAACCCTCAGCAGGAGATCTTCCGTGGGTTGAGCGTGGGCGACCTCAACGAGCTGAGGAGCGTGAAGTATGGGGAAGACATTGAGAGTGCGATCTCGCTCGCTATGGTTCGACTGTCCTGTTCAACTTGTGAGTTTGTTCTGACTGTCCGGTTGCAGAGGTATGAAAGTCTGAGAAGAATCCATGAGTCCAAGGCCGAATATAGCGCCAAGAAGATGGCAGAGGTTTGTTTCATCCGTTGACAATCAATGTTCGATCGTCATTGTATCATAACACTTCCTGTCTTTCAGGTGTGTAACGCTCGTGACAACGGCCGTTTTGATGAACTTTCGAGAGAGAGAGCTTCACCATCTTTATCTGCAACACAGACAAAGAAAACCGAGCCCTCAACACGTAAAAGTGGACAAGTTGTCCTTGGGAATGACGGCAACAACCCGAAGAGACGGATCTATTTCAGCACGAGGTATCAAACATCCGGCAGGAGAGACGCAGGTGAAGGAGATGGGAACAAGATACTGCAGACAAGACATGCTGAGGGCAACAAGATCCCTTTCAACAGCAACAGCGCCCCCGAGCTCCCAGTTGCAGATCCGATCCGATGGCCATGGCAGTCGGAGAAGCAGGAGCGGCTTGAATTCCCCTGGAACGCTCTGCAGGAGGAGCTCAAGGGGGTCGGGTCGGGCGAGAGGGACAGTCAGAAGGAGATTGATCGCATCTTCAACCTGCACTACAAGGACGTGTCGAGCAGTAAAGTCTCCCTTGCAGATCTCAGGAGGCACCCGCAGGAGAAAGTCAGGGAGGAGGTGAAAGTTTCCATGGAGGAGACCAACCTTTCGGTGCCCCGCGCCCGGTTGCTTGCGAGGACTGCTCAGCTGTCCCTTGAGGAAGAGGAAAAGAGGTGAAGTGAAATCCTCTCCTCTCCTCTCCTCTCCTCTCCTCTCCTCTCCTCTCCTCTCCTCTCCTCTCCTCTCCTCTCCTCTCCTCTCCTCTCCTCTCCTCTCCTCTCCTCTCCTCTCCTCTATCCTTGCTCTCTTGTCCGCCATGCATGCGCTGCTTGCCCTGTCGTCATTCCTGCTCCTCCTGCTCGCATCGACTCCGTTTGAGAAGTTCCTCGCAGAGCTTTGAGGGAGCGGGACGATCTGTTCACCAGCGAAGACGAGCACTGGATGTACGATGCTGATACCACATCATGCCAGGAAGGATGGGGAAGAGAGGACAGACCAAGGGAGGGGAGAGGGCAGGAGAGGAAGAAGCCGGGGATAGAGGAGGAGCAGGAGGAGGAAGGGAGGGAGGGAGGCGGGGAGGGCCAAGAGATCAAACTTGACAGAGTGTACGGAGTTTCAAGTAGCAGGTCCCATTGCCCTCCGCTCCTCTCCCACAGGGGGTCGATAGTTCACAGCTGCGGCCATGTCAACCTGGTTCTGAATCTCCGGGCTCAAGAACAGGTTGAAGGAGGGGGAGGAGGAGGAGGAGGAGGAGGAAAGGAGCGGGGAGAAGGAGAGGAGGACGAAGACCAAGGACAGGGTGGAGGGAGGAGGAGGAGGAGGAGGAGGAGGAGGAGGAGGAGGAGGTGTGATATTTCTTCTCAGTTTCACTTCTCATCTCACCTGGCTCCTATCTCTTGTTCGTGTCTGCACTCTGACGGAAAGATTGTAGCCACTGCAGAGTCTGCAGACATCCCCATGTAAGTTGAGGAGAATGAGAAAGTTGATGAGGTTGTTGTTGTTGTTGATGATGATGATGATGATGATGATGATGATGATGATGATGATGATGATGATGATGATGATGATGATGATGTTTCTTGGGGCTGCAGCTGTTGAAGAAGAAGAAGGAGAAGTTGTTGTTGTTGTTGTTGTTGATGATGATGATGATGATGATGATGATGATGATGATGATGATAATGATGATGATGATGATGATGATGATGATGGGGCAGCAATGATTTCACAACTAACGAGGAATTCAGAATCATCGTATGGGATTGTGAGATGATGATGGCGATATCTAGACTCCGACCAACTCACCGCAAGAGCATCACGTGTATGAACTTCTCAACGGAAGATGACTTGCTTGTCTCTGTTGCTTCGGATGAGTTCAACTCCATCACCCTCTGGGATTGGAAGAGTGCAAGCAAAGTCGCCCATGTCTTTGGATCGAAAGAGAAGGTAAGAATAGGTGGCAGTGGTGGTGATGGTAGAGATTGCATAATTCTTAATGGAGATAGTGACGAAGAAGAAGCTGTTGATGGCGATGATGATGATGATGATGATGAATCGATATGTGCATGTCAAATACAGAAGAAATGTAGAAATCATTCACTCACTGACTTTCCTGCTCATTTTCCTCATTCTCGCAGATCCTGTCGGTGACATTCTTGAAACGCAACTCGTCCTTCATGACATGCGGGGACCGACACCTCAAGGTCTGGAAGGTGGAACAACACGACCTGGACACCTCAAGAGCTTTCATCAAGAACAAGTCGACTGAGAGCTTACAAGACATGCAGACATACAAACTCGTTGGAAGAAAGGGAAATCTTGTTGACATGTCCTCTGTCTTCCTCTGCTGCCTCCATTCTCAGTTCGGCCTCGTTGCTGGAACTTCTGCTGGGGACCTGGTCGTCTGGGAGGAGGAGGACTTGCGAGTGCGGCTGGTGGTTCCAGCACATCAGGGGCAAGTCCTGGGAGCGACGAGCTGGCAAGATGTGAGGAGACGATGGAGGGAGGAGAGAAGGAGGGGAGAGACAGGCTGCTGAGGAGGAGAAGGGCACGGATATGCAGAGGATGAGTAGGGGTGGAGAGGGGAGAGAGGAGAGCGGGAGGAGCGGGGGGGGTGAAGTTTTATTTGTTGACCGTACAAGCTGCAGGACAACTTCATCTCTTACGGTCAAGACCGCATGATCCGATCATGGACATTCGGGTTGCTCTGAACGCTTCTCACCCCCTGCTCCGACTGAAAGGTCATGCAGACATGACGCGAAACTTTCCTGCTCGTTCTCGATTTCGCTGTTCGAGAAGGTTTCAGATCACCTTGCTGTTACAGCGAGGCACATGGACGTTAACGACATGAGGTCAGCTGTCATCATGCTTTCCTTTTGCAATGAGAGATTGACATTCCTCTCAGAGTTGTCTTGAACGCAAACTCGACCAAGGTGGAACAACTGTGCGTTCTTGCACGCTGATGATGGAGATCGCAGGAGGGAGGGGACAAGGTCAACATCGAGAGCTGCTCTGTAGCAGGAGACGAGCTGCTTGTCTGCACAACCAAAAAGCAGGTTGATATGGTCGACTTGTCAATTAGATTACCTCTCACGTTCGTCTCTCGTATGATAGTGGATACTCGTCAATCTCGATGACATCGCGGGTAACCTGAAAAACTTCTCACTTCCTCTCTGTCCTGCCCTGCCCTCCTCTCATTCATTTCTCTTGACTTCTGCAGAGCATATCATTTGCTTTCATACCTCGACTCTGATGTCTCGTTTCGACTTTATCTCCGGTTGAGTTCTCTGGCAGACGTTTCTACTCCCTCCGACCTCCCATACAAGACTGTCACAGACGGAGTTGGCGGGCAAGTTTCAAGTCTTGATGTCTTCACGGACGATAACCAGCAGTTGAGATTTCTCTCTCTCTCGGATCGGGGGATTATCAAGATGTGGAAGGTGAGAAGTGAAAAAAAATCAAAAAACATGCCGATGAGGGAGATTGTAATGACGAACAATTGTTATGACAAACTTGCTTGTTTTCATCGGCTGACGACGTTGAACGTGGATCGCTAACACGTGAAACTGCTGCGAGATTGTTGGGCTTTTGTCGGATCGTACATGTCATGATGACGTTTCTGATATCAATGTAGGAAGGGGATGTGAAGGGAGAACAGATTTTGCCTTCATATACCAAGAGGGGGGCGACCTCGATCGCCTGCTGCGTAGTCCCATCTCCTGCCAACACCATGTTCCTGCTCGCTGTCTCCTACGAGGATTCATCCATCATTGTCTTCGACCTGGCCTCGAGGGCGATCTTGTCGGATCTTCGAGTTACCAACATGTCATTGCCACCCCGTGACTTGCTCATCTGTGATGTTGACGTCATCGTCTTCAGGTTTGCAAAGATCGCCTTCCTGAAGTTCGACTTGTTGAGAGACGCCAGGTGAGATCGTGACATGTTCATTCTTGAGCTGCTCACTCTCCCTCTCTCTCTCTTTCTCCCTCACTTTTCCTTCTCCTTCTCCCTCTCCCTCTCCCTCTCATCTCTTCCACCTTCTGCTTCCTCTTCCTCTACAGGCTGGTCGTGGGCATGGAGGACGGAGCGATCCTTGTTTACTCCTCCTCCTCCTCCTCACACGACCGATTCCTAAGAGAATGGACGACTCGGCTGCTGCCCCGCCTCCCTTCGGTGTGTGGAGGAAGGGGGGGGTGGGGAGGAGAATGGAGGCTGAGTTAGCTTCAGGTGGAACCGCTGGGAAGGGTAGAGCGAGCTGACTGGAGCAGCAGCGGAAATTTCTTGCGAGCGTGCGGGGGAGGACAGGAGAAAGGGAGAAACGACGAGATGGGGAGGGGAGAGGAGAAGGGGAGAGGGGAAAGTGGGAGCAGGAGGGACTGGCTGGCTGTTTGGCGGCTGCCGCAGGGAGAAGAAGCAGCTGTGCTGGTGTTGGCGCGCGCTAGTGGCTCGCAGAAGATCTTTGAGGCAGCTGACTTCTACGCGTTGAGAAAGGTGATGGAGATGAAACGAGCGAGAAGAGGGAGAGCGAGAGGACAGCGAGGGAGAGGGGGGGGAGGAGGAGCGAGCGAGGGGGGG